AAACAAATCGACGAATGGGCTACAGTCGAACAAGACACTTTTCGCCATTTTGTAAAGTTTAATGTCCTATCGTAGAAAAAGATGGTTCAACTCGATATAAGGTGGAGTTTCTTAAAGGTCAATGAGTGTAGTTTTTGTTTAATTTCCCAAATAAAAAGTACTTATTGTTTAACTTCCTGCACCAAAACTTAGTACTTAATTTTTCGCTTTTCATACACTACCATTTCCCGAGTTCACTGCCACATGTAACATTGCTCAGTTCCCACTCACAAAGCTTTCTTCATTATTTATTTTTGTTTTCGTTTCAAACGCACGTAACCTTTATTAGTTTCCCAAAGACAACCATTTCTTGGTCAGTTTCCAACCTACAAGTGTTCCTTTTTTTAATTTTTGATATTTCTTGGATATTACTTAATGATAGGTGAAAATTATCAATACTTTGACTCAAAATAATTAATATGAACATACTCAAGTCAAAATTATATTCCAGATATGATACCATAACAGCATTTAACTTTAAAAATAAAGCATTGTTCGACTTCACAGTCAAATGGATTCCCTAACCAAGTTGTCAATAAGTCTTATAATCCTTACGATGGAGATAAAGAAAGTATCAAACAAAAACTTTTAAAAATATCTCCACATTGTAGTAAAATAATCCTTTCTAATCACAGAGAAAGCCAAAGAAAGTTGTCTTGAATTATTACCTACAACATTATATGTCTCCAAGATTAATTACAAGAGAAGTAAGTTGTTTTAAAACAAACATAATTGAACTTTTACACCAGTCATACGTATTAATTTTCAGTAAATTACATTATGTAAGATAAATATTTTGGTTAAATACGTTAGATTTACACTAACCACTGAACTGATTAACTTACAAGTCAACAAATGTTTGCTCTATTCTATAAATAATATTAGTTTGTTGTTAAGAGCAAAGCTACACAATGGACTATTTGTGCTATTCCCACCACATGCACCTAAACCTGATCTCGAGCGTTATAAAACATCAAACTTACGGCTGAGCAACTGGGGTGGGAGAAAATAGTTATGAAAACGGTGAATAAAATAAATATAATATGAAAATATTATGTCACCGCCCTACTCGTCTCCCAGTGGGTCAGCAGTAAGTTTACAGGCTTATAATGCTAAAATCTGGGGTTCGATTCCCCGCGGTGGACACAGCAGATAGTCTAACAAACAAACCGCTCTCTTTTAGTGTATGAAAATAAACTGCATCAGAGTAAACCCCGTGTTGATAGTCTACATTGTTATTGGCTGTCACCAAACCAATCAAACAGAACCACACAAACATAATGTCTACAAAAGTACAAACGGTTATACTATTCCCAGCAGTGTAGTTACTGCAATATAGCCACATATATACAAGTGTTCTGTATGTTTTTTGGCAGTAACTGAATGCCACATAAATAAAAATTTTCATTATGTTTTTTTGACAGTAACTGCATGTCAAATATATAAAAGTGTCCATTATGTTTTCGGCAGTAACTGCAACCCACATAAATATAGGTGTTCATTATATGTTTTTGGCAGTAACTGCAAGCCACATAAATACAGGTGTTCATTATGTGTTTTTGGCAGTAACTGCAACCCACATAAATAGAGGTGTTCATTATGTGTTTTTGGCAGTAACTGCAACCCACATAAATAGAGGTGTTCATTAT